TTTTTTTTGGAAAATAATAAACTAGCACATAAGAAGAAGAAAATTATGTGAATGTATTTTGCTTTCTATGACACTGAAACCATCATATTTCCTTAATATTATGTTTGGATTATGGATTTAGTTAGGGATTTGGAAAGGAAAAGAGAAAAAGTGTATCGAATGTAATTATAGTTCATTGACATTTCACCCATATTTTTCCATTTCCTTTCCAAATCTCTACTCATATCTATGATCCAAACACAACATAAAGGTTCTATCAAGATTAGAAAATCCAATAACAATAATCCAAATCCAGTAGTCCAATAGTTCTATAGGTCGGATACGAAGTTTTAAAAAAAATAATCCAATAGTCCATCCATTTAGAAGCTACTCAGCTTCACCTTTGACAAAGGAAACTACTAAGAAATTAACCAAGTTGTGATATGTCAAACAATCCAATAGTTCATCCAATCAAATAATTTTTTTTTTGTAGATATTTTTATTTTATTTTTTTAAGTGGTCAAACAGTTGGTTTTGGTACATTTGTATGTTTATTTATGTAATGGTTATTGATACTTTGAACAAAGGTAGTAGAATTTCATCTCTATTATTGCTCATGCAGTTTGTTAATGTCAAAACGTGTGCAAAATAATATTTTTCATACATAGATCCTTTATTTTCTCCCCATAATCATAAATTTCCTTAAGTATTGTCTTCTTTACTCACTCTGTTTCGATATTCTGTTTTTGTTGGTCATAGGTCGTCAATTTCTCCATCTTAACGTAGAAGTAAAGCTATACCTCCTCCATCTCTTCCTCCCTAGCGGTTGCATTAGCAAGTGTGCTTTTTAATTTATTTGCTTTTAATTAATAGCAAGGCACTAGCAGGTGTGTTTTGTTTTGTTTTGTTTATTTTAATTGATAATAGGATACTTGAGGGTGTACTGCCTTTCTTTAAAAAAAAATTTTTTTTGAATTAAAAACAAGGAAAAAAAAAAAGACACAATATTGACAGTGGCAATGGGTGAGATTCACTGCCACATCACTAGTGATATCTCTAATTAGAGGTTCAAGCATTTTTGGGTGTAATATATCTAAGAGATGAAACTTGGATAAGATATATTAAACAATAAGATTGGTCTGAATTAAATTTTTTTAGGTGTTTTAAACTTCAAGCTGGATCAGGACAAAGAATTTGGCAATCCAAACTAGGGATGGCAATTTCAACCCGGCCCGATGGGGACCCGACCCCCCGTCCCCGATAAGAATGGTTTTTTCCCGAAAAATACCCCTGACGGGCCGGGGATGGTATTAAAAAATAAATCCCTGGTGACATTCGGGCCGGGGACGGTGATATATATTTCATCCCCGGCCCGCCCCGCCCCCGCCCCGGTCAGCCCCCCGATTTATATATATATATATATATTATATATATGTTACACTCTCTGATCTCACACTCTCTTTTATCTTAATATATTATATTATATTTATATATTATATTATATTAAATATATTTCAACCCCTGTTTGTTGAATAACTCAGCAGCAGAAGCTGTATCTCACTCACACTCTCTTCTCTTCTCTCACTCTCTCTCTTCTCTTCTCTTCACACAGACACAAACGCAGGAGCCTCCTCCAAGCCGCCTCCTCCTCTTCCTCCTCGTCCTCCTCCAGGCCACTATAGCCTCCTCCTCCGTTGCCACGGCAGATCTAATGGAGTGTAGCACATCGTCGATCTCTACCGCTGATCTCCTTCGCCGATCTCCACCGTCGCCCTCCTCCGCCGCCCTCATCAGCTCAGATCTGTAAGATCTGTTATTCTTTTTTTTTATTTGTTATTGATTTTTTGATCTGATGATCTGTAATTTTTTTTTTTAATCTGTTGATGATCTGTAAATTTTTTTTTTTTTGATCTGTTATTTTTTTTGTTGATCTATGTTGATGATGTTGAATGTTGAAACAGAGTTGATGGTGTTGAATGTTGAAACAGATCTGTTTTTTTTTATGATCTGTTATTCTTTTTTTTTTTTTATCTGTTGATGGTGTTGAATGTTGAAACAGAGTTGGATCGGGGACTTTTCGGGGTCGGGGAAACCCGATCCCCGTTGGGGACGGGGATGAGGACTGTGACAGGTTCCCCGTCGGGGATCGGGACCGGGAACGGGGAAGTTTTGGCCATCGAGGATCGGGGACGGGGAGAGTGGTCCCCGGCCCCGCCCCGCCCCGTTGCCATTCCTAGTGGGTGGAATAAATTAAGAGAAATGAGGGATATGATTAAAGTGGGTCTGGTGGAGAGAAAAAAAGGGACCAGAGAGAGAGGGAGTGGGTTGATTAAAAAAAAAAATGTTTTCATCATAAAAAGTGAGTGGGTGATATTATATTCTCCAAGAACTGAATCCTCCATCGGAGGAACTTCTGTCTCTTTTCTTCATCAAAAAAGGTGTGGGGATACAAATCCTTGTTCTGAAACTCCCCATAAGCGTTGTAGCAAACTGGGTGTCCTTTTGATGGCTTCGACAGTTTGGGCACCATCGTCGGTGATGATGGCGGTGACTTTCTCAACTACTTCAGCAACAGCAACAACCACTTCCTTGGGTGGCGCCGCCACTTCTTCCGCCGGAGCAGAAGTCTCGGCAGGGACTTCTTCGGGTTTCAAGGGTTCTTCAGAAGCCCTCAACAAGCATGAATTCACCGCTCGAGGGCTTTCTTTTGTCCTTAAAAGAAGCCGATTCAGGGATCTTCTCCTCCTCCGTCGACGGTTTCGACTTCTCGGCCTCCACCACTTCTTCCTCCGCCGCAGCAGCAGCAGCAGAAGGGTTCGCCGGAGTAGCCTCGGGTTCGGGTTCCGGAGCGGGAGGAAGCTCTTTCTCGGCCACAGGGACGTCAGAAACAACCACTACTTCCTCAGTTACTTGCACCGAAGTCTCCGGAGCCGCCGGTTTCTGGGTTTCGTCAACCATATCTTAACTTGATCAAACCACAGAGAGAGAGAATTGTATGTGTCTATGTGTGCTGTCTGTGGTTTGTGCACTCAGCAGGTTGAAGAAAGGAAATTTCAAGGTATGTGTAGAAACTTTTAGCAGACTAGGTTGAGGTCCGGCGGGCGGCCAAGGCGAGGTTGCCATGTTAAAATTGACTTTGCTTTGATACCATGTTAAAATTGATGTATTATTAATTGATATATATTACAAATGGTGAGGGGCTCCTTATATAGGAGATGTAGGTGAAGTGGAGTAGGTGGAGTAGGTGTAGTAGGTGGAGTAGGTGGTGGTAGGTGTAGTAGGTGGAGTAGGCGATGGTAGGTTTTAACACTAGGAAATAAGAACTCGTGTCATGGGGGAAAAAAAAAAACAGAATTTATCCTATCAAATCAAAGTTGAAATTGGACCACATATTACAATTTCAAAACAACAATTGAAGTATATATATATATATATATATATGTACTTTAAATACAAAGAGTTTAGCACAATTCAAGTTTTTTTTTCTTTTTTGTTTTTTTGGATAACTGAAACCATTTTTTAGGTAGAATCTTTTTGCTTCCACCCCAAGAACGTAACCACGAGGATCAGCCAGTACTCCTTAAACTCATGATTTGGACAAGGAGCTAACAAGAATGTGGAACTAAACATATCATATTCAATCAAAAAATTATTTAAAAAATAATGCTAGGAAATAAGAACTCATGTCATGGGGGAAAAAAAAAAAACAGAATTTATCCTATCAAATCAAAGTTGAAATTGGACCACATATTACAATTTCAAAACAACAATTGAAGTGTATATATATATATATATATATATGAAGACTTAAATTTATTGTTGAAAATACTTGTGACAATACTGCAAACCAATATGTCACACAAGACTACTAGAACAACTCACTCAACAAACCACAACTTGAGGACATGAAGGAAAACTTACCCAAATGCATTGTCAGGGCGAGCATAATAAGGCAAATTAGAGAGTGCAGTCTCATCAATATCAAAAATCCAAACATCTTTCCCATCTCCGGCCAGCTTGAGACTCTTTGCATACACCAAAGCGGCATACGCCGCTGCATTGCAGTCTTTTCGGTATTGGTGGCCGAGCATGTAATGGCCCACATAGGTTTCGCATGTTGCGGGAACTAGGTCCCATCCACGGATGTTATCCATTTTAACTGCGAGCCGCCAACTTAGACATGAAATGCTTGGGACGTGGTGGCCGGCCGCACCAGAATGCGGCCGAAGGAGGTGGATTTGGTGGGGGATTGACGAAGCATGGGAAGTTGAAAGCATAGTTGCTAGGAAGAAAAATAATAATGTGAACTTCATTTTTTTTTTTTTTTTTTTTTTTTTTGGTTTGTTATCTCAGTGAATTTTATGTGAGTTTATTTTACATTTTTGGTTCTTTAAATAAGCTATGTCATGTAGAAATGACCTAACTTTGGCCTTAAATTACCCTTGCACCCTAGGTCACTAAATACATGTGCTATAATTGGAATAAAATATGTCCAAATCAATTCCGCTGGCTCTTTAACTTTTAACATGGATTTTGGTAATAAATAATTGTTATCTACACATGTTACACTACTGGAAATTGGACTTTTAGTGACATTTAAAAAACGCTGCTATAGCTATTCAAAACGTCACTAATTCATTTTGTGGCGTTTATACCAAACGTCGAAGATGTGATCGTCACTACAGCTTTATGACGTTTTAAAAATGTCGTGATATTAGTATATGCGACATTTTTAGAAACGCCACGAACTGTCCCTCCCAAATGATACCATGATTTTAATGACGTTTTTCAAAACGCCATCATATCTGTTTTTTAAAAACTGACCGTTAGCTTTGAAGTTTAGGTGGCGTTTTAAAAACGTTGTGTCATCCTCTCTCTTTCTTTCTTTTTTTTTTAAATTGTGATAAATTTATGTGATTGTACTAAAAAAATATCTGTAATAAAACTGAATAACCTTAATATGAAATAATAACTCTCCTTCAAATAGTAATTACTGTCATTTTAAATAAAAAAAAATTATAATCAAGCGTCAGAAATAGTTTGCCTGCTGCGCATCTCGACTAAATAATTGTTATCTACAACTTATTATTATGTTTGTAAATATATAGATTTTTTGCTAATTAAGTGTCCAAATTAACTTACACGCACCTCAAATAATCATAAAATTTTAAAATTAACGATAAAATAAATCTCTAATAAAAATCTTAGATCTTATTATCAAGTCCATATAATCTACCACTCAATTGTCAAAAGTGACCACGACTCTATCACTAATAACAATAACAACATAAAATTACTTTAAAAACTATATTATTAGATGGCATAAATTGACAAGTGCATTTCATTTTCAAAATAAAGTTTAAAATACATACTTAGCTTTTTCTATTACTAAAGAATACAGTAATTTACAAGCGACCACAACTCTATCACTAATTGAGAGGATAATTTATATTTATAAGTTGGGCCGAGCTGGGTAATGGACCGTTATGGGCCACAATACAGGGGGCAGAGCAAAAAGGCCTTGAAGATTAGTCCGATCCCAGAGCCTTGAAGGTTAGTCCGGTCCCGACAGCCCTAAAGTTAATCTGGACCCAGAAAGCTTATTGTTATCTCGGTCCAGGAGAGCACTACGGATAGCTCGGTCGCCAGGATGCCACACTCAGAGTTAGTCCGGTCACGGTATAGCGCAGCTAGCTCTGTCGGACCTAGCTAATGGTTAGCACGGACTTAACAATACTATAGTCAGTATTGGGAAAACCGTGGTAGCAGTGAATGGGAGAACCGAAGTAGAGTTATCTCGGTCTAGTCTACGGCTTAGCATAACTATGCTTACCTCGGTCATAGTGGAGTCCGACCATGGAAAAACCATCTCACTTGGTTTAAGCAATGAGGGGGGTGCTGAAGGATAAGCATTATCTTTCGGGAGAATGACTCCTAGGAGGACTCTACACGGAGGAGTAAGAGTCCTACTAGGATTGTGCCACACGGAACCTATAAAAGCTCACAACATCACCTATGGAAAGGTAAGACACAACTTTGATTCTCGAATACACAGAGCTTTTTGTCTATTTGTCTGACTTAGGCATCGGAGAGGTATCCAGCACACACCCGCCGACTAGCTCACGTTTGTGTTTTTAGGGAGTAAAGCGACGTCGTATGGAGAAACGCAATCTTGATCAACAGGATTATACGAGAAGGTTTATTTCTTTCCCGTACAATTGGCACTGTCTGTGGAAAAATCAAACTAGAACAAAACCTCTTGATCAAGCTTTTCCTCTTTAGAAGCAATGGCGCACAACGAAGATTTACCACAGTCCGCCATTGATGGACAAACACCAGAAGGAGGTGGGAGGCGCGAAGGTTTGCCTCCTGTCCCTCCCATGGCGGACTTGGAGCCCCAAAGACATAACCCCAGGAGGGATGCTAGGGGGAGGCAGAATAACAGCCCCCGTCACTCTCATTCACAAAGTCCTGACAGACAAAAGCCGAGGATTGATCCTCAAATTTTTGAGGACCGTGTAAAGGAGTAGGACGAATTAATACGACGGATGACAGCTGACATGGAGATTATGAAATGCCAGATGAAGGGAAAAGGAGTGGCGATAGGAGAGGGGCGCAAAAGCAAAACGCCCCCTCGCCGCTCAGAAGACCGTAGAAGGCATTCCACACTATCAGAAGCAGAGAGTAGAAGCCTAAGGACAGGCGATACTCAATCCAGAACCTCCAAAACTCATTACTCCAGGTCTGAGAGAACGAGATCATTGAGGTCTTGCACTGAGGAAAGTACCTATCGACCCTCGCACTCGCACCAGACATCATCCAGGCAGACGGAGTTGCCAAGATCATCCGATTTGCGGATCATGCTGGAAAAAAAGGCACAATGGAAGGAGGATACTAGGGCGCGCAACCCTCGCAGGGTATCTGCCCTTCAGCGGTTGGCTCCTCGGACGCATGAAAGCGTCGAGGTCGGAATGCCGTTACCACGCCCTGCCTACAAACCAACGGACAAAGCATTAGCAAGGCTGCAGACCTCGCCGTTCGTTCCGGCAATTGAAAACGCGCCCCTACTTTCAGGCTTCCTTTAGCCCAAATTCACCACGTACAAGGGGAAGACGGACCCCTACATACACCTAAGCCACTTCTGCCAGGTTATGGCGGTATATCGGCGAAATGAGACTTTGATGTGCATCCTCTTCCCATCAAGCCTTGGTGACCTAAGCTTGACTTGGTTCGAAAAACTTCTAGAAGGCAACATAGCCTCCTGGGCACAATTGGCGGAGGCGTTCATCACAAGGTTCAAAACGAACACCAAAACCCCGATGGAGATTGACCAGTTACTCTCCATCGACATAGGCGAAAAGGAGACACTAAGATCCTACAATAGTCACTACTGGGAGACATTCAACCAGATTGGGGACTGCCCCACCAATCTCGCCATTGCACAGTACAAAAGAGGCCTTCCAGTCGGGAACAGACTAAGGGACTCAATCACCATGACACCGCCCCTTACCATGGAGGCCTTAATGGAGAGAGTGCACCAACATATTCGGGTAGAAGAAGATGGCACCCGTGCTAAGGCAAAGTCTAGCACGACCGCAGTATAGATAAAAAAACCGTGACAAAGGTCAACGCGGTAGAACGTCCGAACAAAAACGGACGTGGCAGGTGAGACAACGGAGAGAACCAGGATAAAAGATGGTTGAGAATCCGTACTGCCATAACCACGGTATTCAAGAAACCGATCTACCGGATTTTGAGCGAAATACGCGATGAGCCTTTCGTCAGATGGCCAGCTAAGCTAGGAAAAGCACAGAAAGACTACGACGAAAGATCGCGATGCACCTTCCACAAAGAAAAGGGGCACCGCACTAAAAACTGCATGCCATTGAGACAGCATCTGGAGGAGTTGGTGGCAGCCAGTCACCTGGATAAGTACATTGAAGGAGGGACGCAACCAG